CCAAAACTAGAAAATAAGTGTTGCTTTTAGTCATGCTTTAATAGTTACTAGAGCTTTGCACTGGGTAACTTCATATCAGACCGGAACATTCGTAACAAGAAGGATGGATCATAACCCGTAACACAAAGCACGACAGGATGAGCATGACTGTTGGACTTGCAGAATATGGAGGCTAATACTTACCCCTAATCCATAAAACCACCACCACCCTTCAAACCTTCCCCATCAAAATGACCATGCGACTCTTTTTCTGGTGTAAAACCGGCCATAGCAGACATTTTATTTAACATAACTCAAACATAACACTTCTTACAGTACACTTAAATGATAACTGACAGTAAGATCCCAACCGGGTCCAAGGTCTTCGAACACACCATTACTCCCATCCAAACTCGGCTGTATCTGACACCCAATGAAAGGCCCCCAGCCGCTACTACACCGCCTCGGGGACAATACTACAGTTACGTAGTCCCAGATACAGCCAATGAACTCCCACATTACCAACATGACCTTATAATTGGGAAGGGACACCCATACCTACGATGGGCCCAACCCATAATTCACCAAATGTCACTCCAACACCGCCTTCAAAGACCCATCCACCCCTGCCGGCTGCCATGACAAAACAAACAAACACCTCGGGACACAAAAAGCTGTCCTGAACAAGGAACAAACGCAATAAACCCACACAAAACAAACACCACAAACAAAAACCAAACCAAACAGCAAAACCAACACCAGGACAAACACAAAGGACAAACCATAACCAACACAGCAAAACAAAAATACGAAAACAGCTTCAGGGAGGGAGGGCGGGAGAAACCACCCCCGTGCTGGCACAAGCTCCGACTGAACTCTGACAAGACCCAACCCCCCTTCAAATCCTGGCAAGACCACCCCTCAATGTTGCGTACTCCAATCAGGTAAGTAACCACCCCCCCCCCCCCTTTACCTCCTGCATAAACTCCCACCCAAAATACACGCTCACCTCGTCTGCATGCCCCAGTCATGCTGGCCCTCCCTTTTAGCTTCACTCAGTCCAGGCCTTGACTGGATGGGTTTTGCATATGTTTTTCTTTAATCATGTAAGTGAACCCACCCATGTAAGCCAAGATTCACTGTATTTGCATGAACCATCAGATAACTAAATAACATTTTTGAAGATTTTTTTTCCTCTGTTTGTACCTTTACATATACAGTTTCATTTTTTTATCATCAGCTGGAATGGAAAACCATTTTCTGGGAAAAGTGAAGCCAGGCTGTAGAGTGGCTCGGCTTTATAGATGGTGTTAAAAAGGGATAAAACAGATCCGGTTGCTTTCTCAGCATTGTTCTAAAATAGAATGTTGTGTGACAGAGAGGGATTCCAAATTCTATGCACAGCTGCTCATATGGGATTTTGGAAAAATGCCTGCACAATATTCCACAGTCTTCCAGGAAGTTTTGATTATTCAAGACTGAATATTAAAAACTTTTTTTTTTCCTGGGAGGGGACATGGTTCAGCCTTGGGCACCTAGAGGTAAATAATTAGGTTGTGTGCATAGTGCTACGTGGTAAAGTGTGGGTGTGTTCAAAATGGAGCTAACATTGGGAGGGGCTTAAAACTTGAGTCTGCTCACTGTGTACACCGTAACATATGGCACAGTCCTTGTTCCCCATAATATTTTTAATTACTATGCCACATACAACAGTCTAACAGGGGTCAGGAGTGCATAACACACAGAGCACAGGGTCAAAATGTGTAACGCACAGGTCAGTAGATGGAGTACAACAAAAAAAATAACTTTCCTCCACAAATCCAAAAGCCCCCTAGTACAGATCTCCTCCCCACCCACTATTAAAGATCCTTTCACCTCACTACAGATATGCCTGTATAGTTCCTCCCCAGTACAGATCCCCCACAGTTTCCACGGTATAGATTCCTCCCAGTATAGATTCCCCCGTGACAGATCTACCCCACCAGTAAAGCTCCCCACAAGTACAGATCTCCCTCCAATACAGATCCCCCCTCTAACAGCTCTCCCAACTGCTGTCCCCCCCCACACTAGAACAAGTCCCACCAGTTTCCATCTCCCCCCTCCACCAGTTCAGGTCCCCCAGTGCAACTCCCACCACCCAGTCCATATCCCACCACAGAACATATTTCTCCCCCCACCAGTACATCTCCCTCCCAGTACAAATCTATCCAAATACAGACCTCCCTCCCTCCGCCAGTACAGCTCCTACCAGTACAGACCTCCTTTCCCCCACCATTACAGCTCCCTCCCAGTACAGATCTACCCAAGTACAGACCTCCCTCCACCAGTACAGCTCCCTCCCAGTACAGATCTACCCAAGTACAGACCTCCCTCCCTCCACCAGTACAGGTCCTACCAGTACAGACCTCCTTTCCCCCCCAGTACAGCTCCCTTCCAGTACAAATCTATCCAAGTACAGACCTCCCTCCCTCCACCAGTACAGCTCCTACCAGTACAGACCTCCTTTCCCCCACCAGTACAGCTCCCTTCCAGTACAAATCTATCCAAGTACAGACCTCCCTCCGCCAGTACAGGTCCTACCAGTACAGTCCTCCTTTCCCCCACCAGTACAGCTCCCTCCCAATATAAATCTACCCAAATATAATAGGTAAACAATGTCACCTTAAACCAAAAAGTGCCTGAACAAGATACTATTTTTTTTTAAAGCAGCAAAGTCAAAATATTAAAATGACTTTTGAAGTTGAAAACTAACATGAGACTTTAGTGTTGAAATACAGTATACTATAAAGCTGTGTATGTGGCCTGTCACAACCTCTTTTAATACAGCCCATCACAGGTTATATCTGTCAGAATTACTGATCATACTCTTAGGATAGGACGTTCGATCAAGGGTGAGTTGAAAACGTCATCTGGTCACACTTGGATTTCTTGAGAAGAGATTCAGAATGTGGAACCAATTAGCAGCAATCAGTGAGCTCAAATTGCTCATGTGCATGCATTTAAGAACATCTGTTTTATGTATTCTATCTTCTAAACTTCTGCAGTTCAGACTCTTGTGGCCGATCATGAAGTCTGTGCCATAGGGAGCGGTTTTAAGGTTATAACCTAGCACTTCCAGAATACAGGCACATAGAACACTGACAAGACATTTGTAACAGTCGTCATGAGATTAGCTGCAAATGTGATGCAGCTTGTGCTGTCTGTTAAGGAGAATTTAGAATTTACACAAAAAAATACTTTGCTGATTTAATAGTGCTCTAAGTATAGATGAAGCTGAACAGGCTTTAGCCAACAGCTATTAAAGGTATATTTTTTTAATAACAAATTTCTCATACTTACCTGCTCTGTGCAGTGGTTTTGCACACAGCAGCCCCGATCCTCCTCTTCTTGGGTCCCCCGCAGGCTCTCATGGCTCCTCCTTTCTGTCGGGCACCCCCATATCAAGCAGCTTTCTATAGGGGCACCCAAGCAGGCTCACTCCTGAGCCACTGCTCAGCATGTCCATTCACACACAAAACCAGCCCCACCCCCACCCCCTCTCAGTCCTCATTTGCTGTGAGCCAATGAAAAGGGAGAGTCCCCAGATTGAGGCTTTCGATGGATCACTATGAGGCTTAGGTAAGTATTATGGGGAGGCTGGAGGGGCTGCTGCACACAGAAGTTTTTTGTACCTTCATGACTAGAATACATGAAGGGTAAGAACCCTGAGCCTTTACAACCACTTTAAAGAAGTTGTGTATGCATATGCAAAAACAGAGAGGCAAAGGGGTAATATTTTGGCCAGCGATGACCCAGTAAAGGAAAATACGCTCTACACATCATTCAGCAAAGTGGAGTCCATTACTTATTCAACTGGCCTGTGACAGCACTGTCCTAATTAGAAAGTACTGTATTTAGAGATTTATTTATTTGTTCATTATTTAATTTATTACAGTAACTTATGTAGCACTACCCCCTTAGGAGTTTTGGGTTCCCCTAAAGCTCTGCACAGCCAGGCAACATGCATTTTCTTCCACACTTTGAAGAACACAGGAGTCATTAAACAGTCCTTGAGCTTGGTTTTGTAATTTTAATAAGGGGTTTAGAACTTGGATGGGGTATAGGGGTACATGGGATGCCAGAGGAACTGCAGAAACCAAGGACAAACTCCTTAGCAATTATGTACAAAAAATGTGGATAGCAACAGTCTCTCCTTTGAGAACACAAAAGGCTCTAGGTGTACCTTCTCAGACCCTGGATGATTCATCCTCTTCCCCCAGCTGCCTTGAGGGTATCTCTGGGCAAGGGGGCTCAAGAGCTGTAAATTGAGCACAGTCTCGGATGAAGAGTAGTTGGGTATTGGACCTGACCGCCCTCTCCACTTATCTGGTGCAGGGGGTGTAGGAGTGCTCACTCTGTCTTTCCCTGCTAGCTTGGTGGGTTGGTGGCTGCCTGGCCACCTTATGCTGGGCTGGCTTCTTCCCTGATACACAGGCCATCCTCCCAAGGAGATGAAAGGACAGAGGAGATCCTCCCTTCCAGAATCCTGCCTGCAGGTGGGCGTCCCTCCCTGGAGCCCCCTCCCATGCTCCACACTCCAGCTCTTCACTCCATCTTCCACCCAACACTTAATGACTCTGCTTCCAGACTCTGTGATTCTTAAGGATTGCCTTGGCCACCATGCCCAACCTCCTGTCAGAGGATTTGCCAAAGTCCCTTAACCTCCCTAGCGGTCTGATTATGTCCATATTTCTGTGCTCAAAGCGGTACATTTTTTTGCATGGGAATATGTATTTTTTTTATTGTAGGCCTGTAATTTTTACCAATAACTCACTGAAATCTGTCCGAACAAGAGTCTAGTAAACATCCCGGGTATGTTAAAATTTGAAACACGAAATCATAAATTATAATATAATAAATAATCATAAAAAATTATAATATAATAATAAATTTAATTCAATAATATAATCAAGCCAAAAACACTGAAATTTGAAATATAGCGCCAAGTTCGTACATCACTGAGCAAAGTCGCAAAATCGTTTTCAGTGTCTGATAACGAATTTCCCCACAAATCATTATCACTCAATTCTGCAAGTGGTTCTAATTTACTATCGCTGTTCTCTAGCTGGTCTAAAACCGATTTTGACCTAAAGGGACACTTTTTGGACGCCATGGACGTTTCTCAGTTTCCAGGCAATAAGAACAGTAAAAATGCAGGCAGGGCGCCGGACAAAACACTCGGGACAAAATGTATGTAAAATGGTTTGATAAAGTAATGTTTTACTATGTGATTTTAGTGGATTTCGGAGATTATGCCAAAAAAGTCCATCAATGCCACAGAAAGCTGTCGCTGCAGTCAGCAATAAGCAAGTATTTAGTGAATGTCACTTTTTGTCATTTTCAAATTTCCCGCCGTTCCGTCCCCCGTACGTCCCGATGCTCGCAGGGGACGGAACCCAGATGACAGATGCCGGATTACATTGCCGCGGACACTGCAGGAGGGACATCGCGGGAGCGCAGGGCAAGGTAAGTGAAGAACAGATGCCGGAGCAGCGCCACATGGTAAGCCCGAGTGTAGCTTGGGGTTACCGCTTGTGGCACTGAAACTGTACCCCGAATTACACTCGGGAATACCGCCAGGGAGGTTAAGGATGCAGATCTGAGCCTCCTGCCTTCCCCTGTCCCTCCTTCAGAAAGCTTGCAGGTTTCTGGAGAGGTGGGAGGGCTCCAGATGTTTTGACCTTCAGAACCTCCCTAGCCTGTCCTGAGTTAACCTCACTGCTACTCAGCCTCTATCTAAAAAAACAAAACAACAAACAGCCTAACCAACTAAACCTGGAGGGTGTTACACTTATATAGCGCCATCAATTTACACATCCCTTCACATATATATCGTACATCAGTCCCTGTGCTCAAGGCGCTTACAATTTAAGGTCCCTAACTCACATTCATACATACACATACTTGCACAGGAACCAATTAACCAATTAACCTACCAGCATATATTTGGAGTGTGGGAGGCACAGGAAGAACATGCAAACTCCAGGCAGATAGTGTCGTGGTTGGGATTCGAAGTGAGCAATTCATGGGGAACAAGAGATCAGATACTGGGGAACAAAGGAACCCTAACATCAACTCAAACCCTAACATATTCCCCACTGCCAAAAGAACCCCTAGCATCAACACTAACTCTTTAGGTAAAATGTCATGTGACCATCATGGCAACACTGATTTGGTGATCACATGGCCTTGTTGATAAAGAGTTATGGTTAGCATTAAGGTTACCCTTAGCATTAGGGTTAGCTTTGTTTATTAACAAAGCCATTGATCAACATGTCACAATATGTGACTAGATGTCTTTGTTAGAAAAAAAAAGCTAAAGCTATGTGCCTATTTAATATATATTTAATTTTTTTTGCCTAAGCAGTCAAATGGGGGCTAATTTTTCCAACTTTTGGCTAAGCTGAAATCGGTAATTTTGCTACAGAATCATTTTCTGAAAAATCACTCTTCTCATTCCTAGCTGTCCTTATTCAGGTGACATCTATATATAATATTCTTTTTAGGCCAATGATGTTAGAAGAGGTGGGGATTTTCATTTCATACTCCCAGGGAAGCTTTGGCCCCTGCTAATGAATGAAGGCTTTGGGGTGAAGCGCACATGCTTCTTTGGATCACAAGCCACTCTTGTGTTGGAAGTTCCCTGAGCGATCTGGTTCATACTGGTACTTCTGAACATATGTTTAGAGCAGTCCATCTTGATCAACTGTGAGTTCTCTGAAACAGTTTGCTCATCTTTAAGAAAAGGGGAAGGCTGCAGAGAGATAATGGGGTTGATTAACTAAAGACAAATAGGCTGTTCAGTTTGCAAGATAAGTTGCACTGTCCAAGATAATTTTCTTAGAAGCTCAGTGAATGAGGGGAAGCTCTGCTGACTTCCATTATCCAAACACGTGCAACTAAAAATGCTGTTCTTTTTATTTCTCTGCATGTGATTGGGTATTCTTTGCCAAGTGAAATTTCACCACATTCACTAAGCTCTGGGGGAAATTGCCTTGCAAAATGCAACTTCCTTGGCAAAGTGAACAGCCTGTTTCAACCCCAATGGATCCATACAGTCAACAGTACTTGAGCTTGAGTAAGGAACTATGCACAGCTCTAATGTTGAGTTACATGCATCCTGTTCAATCTGATTTTATCTCATGATGTTCTTCAGCAAAATTCAATATAATGCCCTGTATAAAATCAGTAATAAATATTTTCCATTAATGCCATGTCTCCGCCTCTAATCTGCTCACTCAACAATGAATCAACATCATCACCAGTAAACATATATGTTTTACAATTATATCTTGAACAGTTTGCCTGAAGTTCAATTCTATTATAAGTAGTTATCAAGTTTACCGCTTTTTCTTGGAAAAATTGGTTAATATGATGTCCAGTATCTGATACCAACCCATAAATGCAGGATTACACAAGGAAAAGCTTTCATTGCATTGTAAAAGACAGCTACTTTTTTTTTATCTGTTTAGTTGCTTGAAAACAGCTGTCACTCACTTTTTTGTGATGTTACTGGGAAGGTACTTTGTAAGTGTACAGCACTCTTACTAACATCTACCACTGCACTGATGTAGCACCCTCCAGTTAGGTAGATAGTAGGAAGTCCAGAATGAGTCACCTGGGAGTGAGATAGAGAGGCCACCTCAGGACAGGCTTGGAGGCTCCACAGGTCAAGGTTTCTGCAGCCCTCCCACCCTTCCAGAAAATGATGGAACGTTCTGGAAGAGGGGTGGAGGAGGTCCAGATTTGCATGTTCATGGGAATTTGGCCAGTCCCCAGGCAAGAGGCTGGGCACAGTGGCTAAGAGCAACCCTTAAATGTGACAGAGCCTGAGTAGTGGAAAAGGTCAGGTGGAAGATGGGCTAAGAGAAGGTGTTGGAGTGTAGGGCCTGGGAGGGGGCCTACCTACAGATTGGTGCTGGATGGAAGGATCTCAATTTTGTCACAAGTTTCCTAGGGAGGACATCCTTTCAGCAGGGAAGGAGCAAGCCCAGTATAAGGCCTGAAAGAAACTGCAACCCATCAAGCTACAGGACAGGACAGTGTGAGTACTTCAACACTCCCATGGGCCAGAGAAGGGAGAGGATGATCAGCTGCAATAACCAACTAGTTCTCATCTGGGACTACTTAATTGCAGATCTTGGAATCCCTTGCCCAGGGATTCCCTCAGGACAGCCAGGTGAAAGAGGAAGGATTCATCTGGGGTCTGAGGAGGTACACCAGAGAGGCCACCAGTGCTCCTTCAAAAGACAGTTGCTACTTTTTTTTAGTCCACACTTTTATACAGTTTGCTGAGAAATTTGTCCCCAAGTTTGTAGTTCCTTGGCCATCCCATATACTCCTATACACCATCCAAGTGGTTAACCCCTAATAAAAACAACAAAACCAAGCTCAAGGACTGTTTTACTGACTCTGTGTGTGAATATGTGAAAAATGCATGTTGCCTGTCCATGCAGAGCTTAGAGGGACCCATCAAAATTCAGCGGTCCTTAAGGGGGCGAGTGCTACACTTCCAACATATTAGGCTTCATTAACAAAGCTTTACACAAGGATGAGGATATTTATATTCAGACACGTGACTGTAATTCCCAAATCTTATTGGATTCAGATAAAAATGATTGCCACTTTTTTAAAATGATTATCTTAATCCTGGTGTTTTATCTTTGTGAATTGAGTCCAATAAAAACATTCCTTGTATTCCAGGAGGACTTAAGGGAGTGCCCATGACAGCCTTGTCTATCATGAGAGTTAAAATGGTGCAGAACGTCATAGAAGTAGGAAAAGGTGCAGGCCAAATATTATTATTATTATTTTACGGGATTTATATAGCGCCAACGGTTTGCTCAGCACTTTACATTATAGTGGGAGACAATACAGTAACAATATACAAGAGGGATTTGAGGGCCCTGCTCCTTGGAGCTTACAATCTAGGAGGGAGGGGTGAGTGGTACAGTAGGTAGTAACTGTGGGGGATGGAGTGGTTGGCAGAGTGGAGGATTCCAGAATTAGCAGAGGGCGGGATAGGCTTCCCTGAAGAGATAGGTTTTCAGTGATCGCCTAAAGGCAAGTAGAGTAGGTGATAGTCTGCTGGATTGGGGAAGGGAGTTCCAGAGTATGGGTGACGCCCTGGAGAAGTCTTGGAGACGAGCATGGGAGGAGGAGCTAAGGGAGCTAGAGAGTAAGAGGTCTTGCGAGGAGCGGAGTGTACGGTTTGGGTGATATTTAGAGATAAGTAAGTAAGTAAGGTATGTAAATTTGGGGCAGTGTTGTGGACAGCTTTATATGTCATTGTTAGTGTTTTGAATTTTATCCGTTGGGCAACTGGGAGCCAGTGGAGGGATTGGCAGAGAGGGGTGGCAGATACAGAACGGTTAGTGAGGTGGATGAGTCTGGCAGCAGCGTTCATGATAGACTGGAGGGGGGATAGCCTGCGATGAGGTCGGCCAATGAGGAGAGAGTTACAGTAGTCGAGGCGTGATATGACAAGGGAGTGAATAAGTTGCTTAGTAGTTTCCGGGGGAAATTAGTTTCAATTGCCTCTATGATATTCCCTTGAGTAAGGAGAGGAGATTCAGGAGTTTGAGTCCTGTAATTTTTTTCTCACAGGCAGTGCTAACACATTTCTATTTCAAAGTTAAAGTGTTTCATATCTAAATCCAAGAACAAAAATGGAATATATTGCAGCTCACCAATCCTTTGATGTGGTAGCTGCATTTGTTTTATTTTTCAGGCTTTCACCTGTGATTCTACCAAAACAAATTTCCTCCCCTGGGGTAACTACACTCACTAACTGTACTGTGTCTATGGAGGAGCAATATTGTCATCCTATGCTCTGATTCAAGCTACAAACTCCTCCATCTCTTCTCATCTCCATTACATAAAAGGGTGTTGCTTTGTAGTTCACAGAGGATAGCTGGAAAAGCTGATACCATTGTTTGAGATCTTAGTTCAAGCCACATTACGTTACTCAATTTTATAAACTTGCTGAAAACTAATGTAGCCACTGAATCTAAAAACTTATAAGCTGCAATGTATTAAAGTGGTGTTAAATTCAAAACCGAACAAATGCAATATATTGCAGCTTCTGAACCGGCCGAGATTCTATTTATCTATGGCTGGCTTAGATGTACTAGAAGATTTAGATACACTAACAAACTGAAGTCAAACTCCAGCTCACACTACTGTTACAATGTTTTTTTTGTTCTTTTGGGATAAAGGTTTTACATAAATAAAAAAAAGCAGATCATTGTAAGCACCCCTGTCAGTTGTAAATAGTTTGTCTCAACCCTCTAACTGCTACTCCAAGAGATAGACAAATGAAACCAGCGCTCCAATCTTCATGCAAACCAAGGAATTGCCAAAATGCCAATCGAAGAGGTGCTGCCCTTCTGAGATCGGGAAATTGACCACTGGTAAATGAAAACAAACAAGGGCGCACTCTCATCG